CAAGAACACCCAAGGGAAACTTGGCAGGTGGATAAAACCTCAGATGAGTTCATCTACAGCACCAAAATATGCTGTATTATCTAGAATCAGCTCTTTACTCATCACAAAGACATACGCAGTCATTATGGGCAGAGGAAAACATAACCTGAGAAATATGGATATTACCCAAAACAGATAAAAGACACAATTTGTAGAGGCCCAGTAAGCTAAGCATTATTTTCAGCTACACATAGTTCTTCCCAAGGCTGGAGAAAAGACAAAAGTTTTAAAATTCTATTCCTTTGCTCTTGGGAAATCTCATGATTAAATAACTTAATGATTTATTTAATTGATCCACTCATTCATTCAACAAATCCTGACTGAGGATTTATCATGTGCTAAGCACAAGCCCAGTCAGAGCACAGATTCTTAAGTGAAACAGGGAATGGCAGTTAATCTTTGAAAAAGCACATTCAATTTACCCATGATCTTTGTAATAAAAAATATGAAGTAAAACCTGTCAGAAATCTTCTTGGCTGGCGGAATATATAGAGGATACAGGGAAAACACACTGTAGGTCACATTAGTTTTAAAAGCAGGACAGGCATTGGCCCAAGGATTCAATCATTTCTCTTTAGAAGATATTCAATATGAAGATAAAATATCTGGATTCATTGCTCCTCCTTGAAATTCAATTTCTAATTTCAAGATATGGAATAGGCAAAACATAGAAGAAATATATAGTTAATTTACGGAGATATAGACCTGCATTTTTTTTTCTAACCTACTGTCTGTTCTTTATGGTTCTTACCAGAGTCATTCCATTCTCTAACTCATCTTTATTTCTTCTACTGTTGCCTACATCTTTAGGGATAGGAAATCAAACGGCTACCTGAGGTAGAAACTTCCAGATTTGCTTCACAGACAGCAGCTAAGTTTCCTGCAAAAGGAAGAGGAAAGTTTAGTGTTCCTGTTTTAGCTGTGTTAATTGATGGCTACAACTGGTATAGTGTGAGATAGAAGACTGCGTGCAGTCTGTTCCAGGCAACATATGTGTGGAAAAAACACAAATTCTCCTGAAGATCCAAAAGAAGGATGAGGGAAGAAGACTATAGGAAGAGAATGAGTATTCAGGTTTCATCTTAGACCAACTTCCTGTGTGCATTTCGGCATCCATTTATTTATTTATTTATCTATTTGTCCTGGGAAGGCCTATTCAAATGACTAAGTTAACAATATCACACATGTTAGTGTACCTTGTAGGTGTAAAAATTCAGCTTTGTTTTGCCCTTATTCTTGAACAAAAGCTTCTTCTTTGCTAGCCTCCCAAATGTTCCTTGCCATTATGCAGAAATACATTCATTTTAAAACAAAGTAAATTCTGTACCTTTTGAAAAAATTAAAAGAAAAATCATACACAGAAACACACATAAGCACAATGACATTGACATTATCCTGTTCCCTCTCCCATGTGCCTTAGAATTATAGCCAACACCTGTGGCCACGCAAGGGGCAGATTTGGCAGCTGCAGAACCCAGATGTCAGACACTGGATTGTACATCCCTGGCAGCAGTCCCAAGTTGGAACCTGTCTCCTTAACTGACCTCTGAAATGGTCTATTGTCTGAGTCCCTTTCTGGCCTGGGTAGTGACTAGCAAGCTCTCTGTCAGGACTGGTTCAGAGTCAGCCAACTGATGATTTGTTCTGGACGCAATTATCCTCTGATTTACCTTTGATTGTAAGGAATTTATTTATTCATTTATTTATTTTGTAAGGGTGAAAACTGGGATCGGGTAAATTCTTAACAAGGAATTATGTTCAAGTTTTTTGCAAAGACTAAGTAAGTTGTTTTTTGTTTTGATTGTCTTTCCCAACTGAAATTGAATGAGATCCACTCATCCAATTTACATTTTAGCACACAGTGAGCTTTTGCTAATAAGAAGTAAAATTAAAGATTCTTGGGCACTTTTCCCCTCCAAAAGAAAACTGGTTTCCTTTTATTGATTCTTCTTTCCTCCTTCTCCTCCTCCTCCTTTGGTTTCCTTTTATTGGTTCTTCTTCTCTCCCCCTGCCCCTCCTTCTCCTTCTTTTTTAGACAGGGTCTCATTCTGTCGTCACGGCTCACTGCATCACTGCATCACTGCAGCCTCGACCTCTCCAGGCTCAGGTGATCTCCAACCTCAGCCTCCTGACAGCTGGGATTACAGGTGCATACCACCAAACTCAGCCAATTTTTTTTTGTAGAGATCCGGTTTCACCATGTTGCCCAGGCTGGCCTCTACTGCTTCCTAAAACTACCTCTTAATGTTGAAAATAAAATCCATTTTTCTTTAGAAAATTAAGGAAGTACAATTTTATTTTTGCTATTACTAAAAAAAAGTCTCATCTTACACAGAGAAGAGCTCTTTGTATCATGAGTTTTCTCAATTCTTTAAAGAGGAAAATAATGACATTACAATCTCATTTGCATACCACTTGCTGAAGAATGACATTTGTAAGATGCAACCATCTTTGGAATAAGGTAAGAAAAGGCCAAGTATCTAAGGGGGCTCCATTTACAATGCAACACTGTTAGCCCTACAAGGAAGGTCTGTGGTATATACAGTTATTCATGGCAAGCTAAGGAGATACATGCCTGGCATTAACAGGAAGATAAATTTTGAGGAAACCATAAAATATACTATCATATGCAACATAAAATGGTATTCATCTGCACCATGTAAAATGTTCCAAATTTTCTTTATTGACTTTCATAAAAATGTAAATATGTCTCTTGGATACCACTGATTAAGACTTGGAAAAAAGACTGAATATTCTGAGTTCATACTAATATAAATCAATAACTGATAAACAAATTGGGGAAAAGAGACACATCTCTCATGCAGAAGAATTCCAAATAATTTATGTGATACTTGCCTTTCAAGGAGGTGGAATTTAATTCCCCACTCCTTGAGTGTGGGCCATGCTTTGTGATTTAATTCCGAAGAGTATAGAAAGGTTGCGGGGAATAACTTTTTCAGTGCAGAAATCTGAGAAGCGCTACTTTGGCCAGGTATTCAAAGTCAGCATCATCAGTAATAAGTCATGTTTATAGCATATACTACACTTAATATAATATGATATAATCTCACTGAAGGGTGCATCACCTTTATAATATTTCTCCAAAACCCCATATCCCCAGTATCACCAGGTGAAAACATTAGATAAACCCCACTTGAGAAATATTCTACAAAATACTTTACCAGTACTCCTCAAAACTGTCAAGATCATCAAAAATAAAAAGTCTGAGAAACTGTTGAAGCCAAGAGGAGCCTAAGGAGATATAATGACCAAATAAATGTAATATGCTATAGTAGATAGGCTGCTGGAGGAGAAAAAGGACATTAGAGGAAAACTATGAAATCTGAACAGGGTGTGCAGTGTAGTTAACTGCAATGTAACAGTGTTGATTCCTTGGTCATGACAAATTTACTGTAGTTACGTGAGATGTCAACAACAGGGGAAACAAAGTGAGGGGTATATGGGAATTCCCTGTATCATCTTCATAATTTTTCTGTAAATCTAAAACTAGTTCCAAAATGAAAAATTTAAATTTTACTAAGAATGACATATTGTCATATCGACAGAAACCGAGTTCCTTGTGTCAATCAATACATCTTTCGTTCTTTCCCACACACACCTATCTGCCAAACCATATGGCATGAAGAGTCCTTTTCCTGAAACATAAGAATACTTCATCCTTCAAGCCAATGTAGTATGAATGGAGATGGACTTATTCTGAAAGTTTTAGATTTCCCAATAATACCTAGATCATGCCCTTGGTAATATGGCACAAATGCTCAAAAGATAATGTCTAGAAACCTGTATTTCTCAAAAGCTGTAAAACACAGAACATCCTTCAACTACATTTCCAGTAAACTTATATTTTGTGTGAGTTATTAATGACATAATTAATAACAATGCATTCATCTCTGAAAGAAACACGTTCTTTGCTAGATTACCGAGGGCAGTGTTCATTTATTGATCAATTGTTATTATGTGAGGCACAAAGGTAAAGTCTGATGTACCTCGGTTTCAGAACATGGGTGAGATTATTTCCTTTCTTCTCCTCACCTGTCATTCAGAATTACGAGAAATGAAATCTCTGGGAATTTTAGAAAAGATACTCTTTCCTACTGTTTTCAATTTACCATTTTTCTTTAAGAAAAGAAAAAACAAGTGTTGATATCAATGAATGTTTACTTGAAAAAACTATTATGGGTTTCTGCAATTATTGATAAAAATTGTGCCTTTGTTAACATTTTAATTATATAATTTTAGAAGTTCAGTTGATCAAAATTTAATTAGCCAGGACAATAAATTGGTCAGAATTGCCTCTCTCATTCTGTTTGTTAGGAAAGAATGCAAATGTCCTTAAGGAAAGCTTGGGAAAAAAATACATGCAAGTTCTTGAATGTATTTTAGGGCTAAAAATAAGATTCAAGGCCAGGTGTGGTGGCTCACACCTGTAGTCCCATCACTTTGGGAGGCCTGAGCAGGCAGATCACCTGAGGTTAGGAGTTCGAGACCAGCATGGCTAACATGGTGAAACCCCATATCTACTAAAAAATACACAAATTAGCTGGGCGTGGTGGCGGGCACCTGTAATCGCTGCTACTGAGGAGGCTCAGGCAGGAGAATTGCTTGAACTCAGGAGGTGGAGGTTGCACTGAGCTGAGATCGTGCCCCTGCACTCAACCTGGGCAACAAGAACGAAACTCCATTAATAAATAAATAAATGAATGAATAAATAAATAAATAAAAGATTCAGTAAAATCACTTGCACATTCTATACCTATAGCACTTTGCAATAATAACATATATTAGGAAAAGACTATAATAATGAGGAAAAAATGTTCACTATGGAATTCTTAGCTAAGGCAGAACAGTCAACTAACATACTTTAGGAATATTTCGCATAGAAAAGTATTTAATATGGAAAGAAAATACTGGAAAGGAGGGGGGATCTACAGTTAATGTAGGTAGCTGGTGTTTTTTGCTGTTAAGAAGTTCAATTAATATGTATTTTGCATTGCATTATACTATTGCGTGTGTATGGCCAATAACGAGAATTATAAGAATCCCTTTCCCAGAATACTGATGATGCGCTAGGTTTCAGGCTGCCAGGCATTTGAGAGACACCACCTATAACTTAACCCTGCAAGTTATGAACAATTAGTGTTTAACAATTGAGAGAACTGAGGGCACCAGAAATTAGGGAACTGATTGAAAGCCCCACCACTTATAAGGGAGGGAGCCATTACAAACTCTGTCTGGCCACCTTAATTGCCTGAACTCTTTCCTCCCATATCATTCATACAGCTTTGTTATCATATATTATAATTACTAACTATTAAAGTAAGCATTTATTTATCACTAAGTGATGTTAAGTCATTTAGTTTTTCTAGGCTTCAATCTTCTCTTGAGTAAAATGAAGCTGACTGATTGATTTCTAATGTTTAATAGAAACACTGATTTATATACAGAATAAAAGAATACAAATGGTCATTTTCGCAATACTTTTGTTTATAAAAAAAATCATTAACACTGGCCCTTACTAAGTGTTGTGAAGATGGGACTCATCTAGAAATGCTCATGTCATCTCTCTCAAATCCTTCCAGTCCTGTTAAGCCAGGGCTAGATCTTACCATTTTCAATGTTATTCCTTAAAACTTACATGTAAGAGGAAATTGGATATTTTTCCCTGCACTGTACAAACTATATACTTAAACTTTTTGGCTCCTAAAGAATCAATAACTTGCATTCAGGTATAAATAATGCAAAGAAACCCATTTTTCTGGCTCTGAAAATAATCAAAATTTTTATTTTAATTCACATTTATTTAAATATAATATTTTTATAGACACATGAAGGTACTTACAAACATTTATAACATGGTAGACATAAATATAGATGAAATGTTTAGGTATTTTAGACAAAATTTCATACATACATTAGACAAACTGGCTCGCATTTAGTTTCAAGGGTACATTAACATAGATATTTGAAAAGGATGAGCTTTTACAAAACTACTACAAAATGTTCACATTTGCATCAGTAATAAGTTATATTTCCTAGACTGATGTTTTATAAAAACTATGTAAAGATCTAATTTAATCATTAACCACATATAATAATATTATTTGTAAATGAAGCATATTTTTGTCAATAGAAATGTTCCTATAACTTTTAAATAACATAGCATTTTTATTAAGACCATGCCACATCTATTAAACAAACATGCATAATATTTTAAAACCTGAATAATTCATGTACCTTTATGTACAGTGTTTAGTTTCACTATGGCACTCTATCTTTATGAAAAAAATATACTTAAAACTTGGCACAGACTTAATAAATCATATTGCTGATAATCAAAATAAATGTGATTTCAATTTCCCATGGCATAGAAAATTCTCTATCACAATTTACCTCTTCCCTTTACAGTTTACTGACCAATGGCAGTTCTGTTTTCATTAAAGTAAACAATGGATATTCAAGAACTAAGTCATATCTATGTGTTCTGCCTATACTCTAATTGGAAATGAGTTGATTTCATTTTCTTCAGCAGTAAAACATTTCCATCTGTATTGTGGCCAACAAATTTCTAAATAAGGGTGTTATCAGCAATAATATGTATCATCACGAGATGTTTTTCTTTAGGAGGCAGAGAGGTTGAAAGGAAATGTGGATCTCTTCATAAACTGGGAACATATGTGGTAAGGAGAGCAAATGCCAACTGAGGCAGAAGCAGGGAAAGTTCCTTGGAAAGCTGGTCAGAGAGCACACTGAAGTAGCAAAAAGAGAACAAAGGTGGGAACACAAAAATTATTCACGATGGAAAGGGCTGCCATGGGTTTAAGAAAACGGAAATGGGTCACTCTAGAAACAGGACGCAGAGCAGTTCTAGCACTCTCATATCAGCAAGCCATCACTGCTGTTTAGGACAAGTTTTAAATTTCCAGATCAATGCGTCTAAAGTGAGACTTGAAGAAATTAAGCTAACTGGCACCTCTTTTCTCAATTCATTCATAAACACTGTGGAAGAGAAAAATTCAGGAATAACACTAATTCAACTTCCTACAAACCAGAAAGGAGACTTCACACCCACCTCAAGCTCAGACTTCAGAGCCATGGTAACTAAAAAATGCCACAATTCTTTTTCACAGTTCTTCTAAGATAAATTTAAGGTGTTATATTTTGAGAGACCATCTGAAGGAATCGACTCCTTTCATAAAAGCTTCATAGCCTAATTTTTATATTTATTACGTGGGAGAAAGGAAGTAGAACTTAAGTTCAGTTTTTATAAAATGTTCTTTTTTCTAAAGGATAGAGTAATGAACATAATGCTATTCTCTTTACTTCAGATCCTTGCTTTGCTGAGGGCCTTAAACAGTGAAATGGCAAAGAACATCAAACAGGTTAAACAAAATAGGCAAACTTATATTTTAAAGCTATTAAGGTGCAAACAGACATAAAGATTATGAATCACAGAGCACTGAATTTTCAAGAGTGAAATCATACCAAAACCGGGATAAGTTTTCGCTGACATCATAGGAGAGTAAGTGGTCGGGAAGGTCAGTGATGGTGCCCTGCACTGCCAGCACATGCGGGGCCAAGGTGAAGGGTACATCGCTCAGCAGCTCGGCCATTAATGAGCTGTTCTCCAGAGTCTGGCCTGCCTTATTTTCCGTCTCAGGGTCTGATACAGTCACACTGGATGCATTTTCTTTGTTGGTCTAAAAATACATATATTTAAAACATTTAGACCTTATGAACTTTGAGGTTTAGTCATGGTAAATGTGGCATTAATACATCAAAATGATTGAGAAATGTGGACTATATAAATATTCCCAGATTTGAATGCAGCTATTTACTTTCCTTTAGAATGACATTCATCCAAATCTCATTAGGCTTTAAAATGCTCCTGAACTTTAACTCAGACTGATCACCCACAGACCCCTTAAATACAAACTGGCCTTCTTCTTATTTCCCTAGCTCAGATAATGTCTGCAAAGTCTGTCTCCACTTTTCCAAATTTTATGTGCGTTTTCAGGCTCTGCGAAATTCTCAGCTGCCCCATAAAACCTTGTATCACTGGAGTCCAAAGTGATCTTGCCCATTTCAGAATGCTTACGGGGCAAATTGCCTAGCATGTTATTTGGTATTGCCTTTATGTGTCCCTTCTTGTTGCTGTTCCACATGCATATATATCTTATCTCCAACTAGACTCTAGGGTCCCTGAAGGCAAGCAATCTATCGGGCATATCTTTGTATTTTCAATCTTGTATACTTTACTGTTTAACACTAATATATATGTACTCATAATTTATCTCTAATGTATATCATGAGTATTGATTGATGGCCTGACTTTCATTGGAACTAAACTGTTATGTCATAAAATTTATCCAATTTTTTTTAAGAAAGGATATATCTTGTTCAGTTTCTTTATAATTAATTATCTCTTGCAAATTACCTAAATATCAATCAAGAGAAGAATGGATAAAAAATTGAAATCTATTTACAGCAATGAAGATGAATGGCCTGCCACTATGAGCACCTGAAACCCAACTCAAACCAGCCTGGACAAAAAACGACCCCACCCTGCCCCTCAATCTCAGGCAGAATAAAATTACCAAGTCTTTACAGAGGCCTACTAGCTTCTTCATGATCTGGCTCCAGGTGTGCCTCTGACCTCATCTCCAGCTAGTGTGCCCTGGCCTATTCCTCTTCAGTCACACTGTCTCCTTGCTAGTACAAGTGCTTGCTTGTGCACACTCAGCCTGCTTCTGCCTCAGGGCCTCTTTCCATTCCTTCTGCCCAGGACGCTCTTCTCCCAGACATACACAGGGCTACTTCCCTTACCTCCCACCAAATGCTAGCCCAGATGCCATCTCAATGAGGCCTTTTCTCACATGAAACTTATTTTTATGTTTTTTTGTTTGTTTGTTATTTTTTGAGATGGGAGTCTCACTCTGTCGCCCAGGCTGGGGTGCAGTGGTGTGATCCCAGCTTACTGCACCCTCTGCCTACCAGGCTCAAGTGACCCTCCCTGCCTCAGCCTCCCAAGTAGCTGGCACTATTAGGAGCATGTCACCATGCTTCTAATTTTTGTATTTTTTTGTACAGACAGGATTTCACTATGTTGCCCAGGCTCGTCCTGAACTCCTGGGCTCAAGCAATCTGCCTGCCTCAGCCTCCCAAAATGCTGGTATTACAGGTATGAACCACTGGGACCAGTAAAGGAGCTTTCGTAGCTCATGTTCACTGCTGTATCCCACATGCCTAGATCAATGCAGTAAACCTAACTCAAACCAGTCTAAAGATTTACTGGGCTTTTTTTTTTTTTTTTGTAGGCTATTAATTACTGCCTCAATTTCAGAACTTGTTACTGGTCTATTCAGAGATTTGACTTCTTCCTGGTTTAGTCTCGGGAGGGTGTATGTGTCCAAGAATTTATCCATTTCTTCTAGATTTTAGTTTATTTCCAGAGAGGTGTTTATAGTATTCTCTGATGGTAGTTTGTATTTCTGTGGGATCAGTAGTGATATCCATTTTTTATTGTGCCTATTGATTCTTCTTTCTTTGCTTCTTCATTAGTCTGGCTAGCAGTCTATTTTGTTAATCTTTTCAAAAAACCAGCTCCTGGGTTCAATGATTTTTTTTTGAAAGGTTTTTTGTGTCTCCGTCTCCTTCAGTTCTGCTCTGATCTTAGTTATTTCTTTTCTTCTGCTAGCTTTTGAATTTGTTTGCTCTTGCTTCTCTAGTTCTTTTCATTGTGATGTTAGGGTGTTGATTCTAGATCTTTCCTGCTTTCTCCTGTGGGTATTTAGTGCTATAAATTTTCCAGTATCCCAGAGATTCTGGGTCATTGTGTCTTTGGTTATAAATGCTGACAAATTCTTTGACTCATAAGTCTAAAGGAGAAGAATGATTTTCTGTATGAGAAATAATTTTGTAAAACTTTTTATTAAAGTATAAAATACACACAGAAAAGATTACCTCATAAGTGTATAACTTGCTAAATTTTCACAAACTGAACACACATGAGTAACCAGCACGCAGATCAAGAAAAAGACCAGCCCCTAGAAGCCCTCCTGGTGTTCTCTTGCAGTCACAATCAACCCCCATCCCCTCAATCACAATCCTCATTTCTAACAGCACAGAATTGGTTTTACTTGGTTTTGTGTATATATATGTATGTATATGTTTATTTATTTATTTTATTTCATTTATTTTTCCTTTTTGAAACAAAGTTTTGCTCTTGTCGCCCAGGCTGGAGTGCGATGGTGCAATCTCAGCTCATTGCAACCTCCACCTCCTAGGTTCAAGTGATTCTCTTGAACCTGGGAAGCAGAGGTTGCAGTCAGCCGAGACTGTGCCACTGCACTCCAGCCTGGGTGACAGAGGGAGACACCATTTCAAAAAACAAAAAAACAAAAAACAAAAAAAAAGAAAAGAAAAGAAACATATTTCATAAGGCTATAGCTGCCATAGATAGTGATTCCTCTGATGGATCTGGGCAAAGTAAATTGAAAACCTTCTAGAAAGGGGTCATCATTCTAGATGCCATTAAGAAAATCTGTATTCATTGGAAGAGGTCAAACTATCATTAACAGGAGTTTGAAAGAACTTGATTCCAACCTTCATGTATAATTTTGGGAGTACAAGACTTTACTGGATGAATTAACTACAGATTTGATGAAAATAGCAAGAGAACTAGAATTAGAAGTAGAACATGAAGATATAACTGAATTGCAGCAATCTCATGATCAAACATGAATGGATGAGGAGTTGCTTCTCATGGATGTGCAAAGTAAGTGATTTCTTGAGATGGAACCTACTCTGGGTAAAGAGGCTGTGATGATTGTTGAAATGACAACAACGGATTTAGAGTAGTACATAAGCTTAGTAAAGCAGCAGCAAAGGTGAGAGGACTGACTCCAATTTTGAAGTAAGTCTTACTGTGGGTAGAATGCTATTAAACAGTACAGCATGCTACAGCGAAATCTTTTGTGAAAGAGTCAATTGATGTGGCCAACTTCATTATTGTTTTATTTTAAGAAACTGACACAGCTGCCTTGGCCTTAAGCATACCACCCTCATCATCAGCGGCCATCAACATTGAGGCAAGATCCTCCACCAGCAAAAAGATTCCAAGCTGCTGGCGGCTCAGATGATTGTTAGCACTTTTTTTTTAAGCAATAAAGTACCATTAATTAAAGCATGTACATTTGTTTAGATATACTGCTATTGCACACTTAATAGATGAAAATATAGTGTAAGCATAACTTTTATATGTAGTGAGAAACAAAAAAATTTACGTGACTTGCTTTAATGCAATATTCACTTTATTGCAGTGGTGTAGAACTGAACCCGAAATATCTCTGAAGTATGTCTGTATATTACCTGTAGCATTTTGCTTTCTAAACACACAACTTCTTGTTTTTTGTTTTTTTTGGCTGAGTAGAGCAGGCTTTATTGATGGCATATGAAGGCCCCTTCCTCTTCAGGGGGTATGTGTGGAACTAAGGAGGGGAGATTCTTGACCTGGTGGCAGGCTGAGTGTGGCAAGGACTCCCCAGCAGCTGAGGGTCTCTCTCTTCCTCAGCTTCTAAGGCTTAACTCTCTAGCAGCAATATTTATTGCCTTGTTCATATTTTTATTAATCCTCTTTTTTTGACAAATCATTGTTATTTCTGAGAATGTAATTCCTTGAGGACAAGAATGTATCAAACTTTATCTAGTACAATAAAAAAATTGAGACGTATTTTCTTATTCAAGTTATCCTGATAAAACTACCGTCTGACCTGAAGGGGGTTGTTTACCCATCTCAGACTCAGCCCACTGTTCTGCAAAATGAGTGAAGAGGGACAAAAGGTGAAGATGATGAAGACAACTAGGATGGCAATGATGACAAGACAACAACTAGCACATATGGAACACTTTGTGTCAGGTTGTATCTAAGCTGTTTAAACGTATTCGCTCATTTAAGTCTTACAACAGCCTTATAGGGTGTGTGCTCCTATTAGTCCCTTATTAAAGACAAGAGAACACTGAGGCACAGAGAGGTTAAGAAAGTTGTCCCAGGTTGTATAGTTTGTCAGTAGTGAAACTGATCGTGAAACCCAATGACCATTAAAGCTCTACATTCCAAGATCCTGCACATTCAGACATGCTTTGGATAGAATAACTGGCTGAATGAACAGTGCTTCAAAAATTTTAAGGTACAGTATTAGAAAATATTACAGTTACTAAAGTACCAATATCTTGGCTTAATTTAAGAGGAAAAATATGCTAATATTTTGTATCTTAAAGAAGAAAGGACTGAGAAAATCCTTTCTTCTCAGGTGACAGATCATACAGACAGGCTGCAGAAGGATGGAAAAGCAACTCTAATTTAAGATATATTTATCCCTGGAAATGAATCTACCAGGAGTCTGGAGACGATCATGGGAAAAACACCATGGACAGTGAAACAAGATTGTCTGTGAGTTGGTAATTATTGAAACAGACAGGAAGGGACGTGGGAATGCACTATAATATTCTTTCCACCTTTGCATAAGCTTGAAAATTTTTCATAATTAAGTTTTTAAAAATTAGTTTAAAAACACGAAGGGCAAAGCGTTCCACCAAATGCCTCCCAGAACGATGTGAATTTCAGCTGTGGTGTATGTATTATTCCAGCATCTAACACTTAACTGTTGGCTATAACGCGTTACAGTCTCCAAGGAGGCTG